AAAACAAACGAACCACAAAAAAAAAAAAAAAAAAACACAAGAAAACAAGAAACCAAAAAAAAAAGGAGTAAAAAAAAAAAAAAAAAAAAAAACAGAAACAAAAACCAAAAAAAAAAAGAGAGTAACACCTCGTACCTGACCAGTCGACTGAGAACGAAGAGGAGAACGGCTTCTCCGATGCTGCAACAGAATGGAGAAGGAGGCGGCTGGCGGCTGGAAACAGCACTGCAAGCGGCTGGAAACGCGGAGGAGGAGAAGGGAAGAAGAGAATGCGGTCGAGCAAGGCGACCGGGGCTTATAAAGCCTATTTTTTTTTGCAGAAAATCGATCGCAATTTTTATTCCTGCGATGTCATTTTGATGTCAGGCAAATTGCGACCGATTTATGACCAACATTATCGATTGCAAACTTTTCGGTCGCGAATCAGTCGTAAATTCTTACGAGCACGCAATTTTACGACGGAATTAGAGACGGTCACAAATTTGTCACAAATTCAGTCGCAAATTAGTCGCGATAGGGTCACAAAATGGATACCAAACTGGTAGGAATTATGAGCGCTAGAATTAGCAACAGATAAGACTTCGGTTGCAAGTCCGTCGCAAATTCTATCGTCGTTTGATCGCAAATTCGTCGATGTATATTCAATCTGCCAATCATCGCAATTGGTCGCAATATCATCGTAATTTTGTGACCGATTTACATCTGCCGCAAAAATTGATCACAAATTCGCATTTTTTTTTTTTTGTAGTGATCAATAGTTTCGCGAAAGCCATTTATCAGGTCCATAGACGGACCGGTACCTCCCCATTTATCATGCACTAATAATAAATTGTTAAAATCACCAATGATAGCCCACGGAAGAGAGTGTAACCGAGAGAGAGCTGTTAAAAATTTCCATGACTTCTTCTGCCGGCCAATCTCTAGAAACCCATAGAAGTCGATAAGCCTCAATGCACTACTAGAGGGCGGAGAAATAAGCATATCAATATGATTTTGAGAAAATTCAGTCACATGAATTAAGCTAGGATTATTCCAAAATATCGCCAAGCCCCCTGACCTACTAAGCCTATCAGCAAAAGCAACAATCAAACTGCAATTGTCATTTTAATCATCAATACGACAACTATGGACTAAAGTTTCTACTAAAAATATAATATAAGTCCCTACTTATAACAAGCTCACGAAGAGCATGAACTGCCTAGGGTTTGCCTAAGCCCCGACAGTTCCAACTAACACATATTATTGGGATCGGTGGGTCTGCAGAGCAGATCCCACCATTGAAGTAGAAAGCACTTAAACCAAAGAAGCAACATATTCTGAGTCTCTAAATGTAGAGATAGAAGAGATAATTTGTCCAACCCGATCTTGTTTTTTGGTTTCATCCAACTGCAGTTCCCCATTTTCACGAGCTTCTATTAATTTTTCATCACCAATCTTCTCATGAGTGGTAACATCCATTAGAACAACTTGCTTATTTTGTAAGTCCTTCATTCCTCTTCTGTTAGAAGAATCCTGCTGAGGAACAGAAGAATTCAATGATGCAAGCATAGGAGATAACATGGACCCTGTCTTAGTCCTTAGAAATCGATCACCGAAATTGTTACCCGCCCTATTAGTGGCCCTTAACCAAGCACCCTGCGCTTAGTGAATTCCCTATTCGGATTAGCAAAGAGCAATTCACAAAAAGAGTCTGTGTGACTTAGACATCCACAAATAAAATAGAAGTTAGGGAGCTTCTCATATTTAAAAGTCATAGTAACAACTCTCCCACCGTAAGGCGAATCTTTTCTAATGTTTTAATGGGTGCCTCACATTTGCAGAACACCGAAATCGCATATAGGATCTCCAAAAACTAGATATTATATTAGCGTCATATTCCCTAAATTGTCCAATAAAGTTGCCCAACTGAGTTGCAACCGATTCAGATAACAGTCCTACCAAAGTATCGTGAACCTGTGTCCATAAGCCACTGAATGAAACTCAACTAAGGAAGGATCCTTACCCTTTTGAAGTGGATGGAGTAACAGCATATTGTTGTTGAACTACCATAGTCCTCAGTCTCTAACTCGTCAAAAGTCCAAGACACAGAAAATTGAACAAAAAATATGCGCCCTAAATCCTCAATGCATATTACCCGACCAGGCCGTCGGAGGGTAGCCATGGTATTCCTCATTGCTGGGAAATTAATATTGCGACCCGTAAGGAATCGCCCAACCATGCAAAAGTCCGACTCCATCGAGATAACTAGGGTTAGAGACTGTAGGATCGGCATCTCGTCATCGTCCATAGCATGCCAGCGAGTTGTTGTAATGTACAATCCAGAGCAATGTCGAAGAGCAAAAAGCAAAAAAGCCCTAGATGCAAAAAAAGACGAAACCCTAAAAAGAAAACCCTGAAACTTACATAAAGTAAGAGAGAAAACTTGCACAATGCAAGACGACAATTTCTAAATAACTAACTATTATTATTGCATTTTGACCATGACACATTACATAAAAGTAAGAGAGAAAACATTGCACAATTGTCAAGACGACAATTTCTAAAAACTAACTATTATTATTGCATTTTGTCTAAAGTAATGTTTATAGCTTTTTTAGTTTTTTTTTCCCAATACATAGCGATAAAGGCAATCAATTAATTTGATTTGTTATCGAATGGAAAATCAATCATAATATTATGAACTCTTTCCCGCAGTTATGTAACTCATTATAGTTAGTTTTAGAAAATATTGTTTGCTTATAGTATATATTTAAGATTTTTAAGAAGTGGATTATTAAGCATTTTATAGACAAGATCTATAAATTTGATTTGTTTTTGAATGAAAATCAATCAATTTAAATAATTATGAACTCTTTCCGCAAGTATGTAAACTCATATAGTGTTTTAAAAAATATTGTTTCTATTATATAATATTTAGATTTTAAAGAAGTGGATTATTAACATTTTATAGACAACTACTATAAAATCCTAAATCAGGTAATCTTATTTTCTACTACACTGTTAGGACTTAGGAGTTAAGACGAGAAAGATTGCCTTAATAGAAAAAAATTAATTAATTGTTACTAGCATAGCTTTCATCGCTCATTCAAGAATTGGAGGCCCACTTTGATCATAATCAAAAGAGGACAATAAATGTTTACCGTAAAAAAGCCTTACACTCTGTTTGGAAAGAAGAGAAATCAAAATAATGATAAATTGTTAATTTTCTTTACATTGTTATTTTCCACCCTTGTGTTTGGATAATGAAGAAAAATAATGAAGAAAAGAAAATAAATTTATTTTCCTTTATTTGGAAAAGGTAAAATTTTAGAGGAAAAAATTGTTAATATTGATATATTACCATTTTAATCTCACCTATCCTTTTAGATGGCTTTGATGATCATATAACTTCAATATTTAATTAAAAGTAGTGAAATAGGAAGGAAAATAAATTAATTTTCCTTCTTTTCCAAATAAGGTAAAATTGCTTTCCACAATTATTTTCCTCAGCTATTTTGATTCCTTCAAAAGAATGTATCCATCCAAACAGAATGTTATTTTAATAACTTAATTCAACTTACAATTAGGGTAGAAAAAGAATAGAAGAAAATGAATGATAGAGAATATAGAAGAAAAATAATAAGTGCAATTTCAAGTTTTTAGAAAATAACTACAAATATTATGAGAAATCAATTTATTTAACTCTCTTCGATTCCTTTATTTAAAAAATTTTGAACTTTCTTTCTAAACAGCCTATAAAACTTGTTAAGAGAACAACAACTGTTGTAATTGAAATTACAAAACTATGGGCAGTATTAGTGAAATTTAAGGGAAATTGTATGTATTACAAAATTCAAAAGGAAGCAATGAACACTAATAACAAGGGAATTAGGATTAAATTCAAAGCATAATTAGATTATATGATTGGAATTTGACAATAAAATTAACAAGGGTTGAAAATTTAAATGAAGATAATAAATTGAAATTAAAGAAATTTGTCTTGTTTGTGTTGCTTTTTTATTGTGTTATTTTTCATAGGATACTTGAGAGAGTGCTTGCATCACTTTATAAAGAAACCGATATCTCTTTTCTTTTATATTTTTTAATTTATCCACAACTCTTTTATCAATTATTTAATTAAATTGAAATATTTATACTTTGTTTGGATGACGTAAAATATGAGTCGATGTAAAATAAAATGTGAAAATATTTTATGATTTTCAAAATCTTTTACTTGGTTTGAGTGAAAATGTTAAGGACGGTCTAACGTAAATTCTTTTATTTGGTTTGAGTGAAAATGTTAAGGACGGTGTAACGTAAATTTATTTTACACATTTTTATAGACTAATTTTCACTGAGAAGTGAATAATATAATTTTGTATTCTTATTTTACGTTGTCCATCTTTTCAAACATAGCATAAATTGAGTTTTCAATTTACTAAGCCAAATTAAACAATTTTATGGGCCCTGAATAAATTTTATGGACTTCATAGAAGCCCAAATATGGGCTCAGCAACTTCACTCTCGTCTTTTCTTATCCAAACGAATCGATCATTCAACATTAGCGCTTTTTATTGTTTTTTTTCAAAGCAGCTTTAACGGACAGAGAAATTAGATGGAGAATGTATGAGAGGGTTAGTTTTGACAGGCTTAAACACCACAGTGATCTCTCTTGTTTCGCTATTCGTGGAGCCGCAAACGCGGTCTACTACTCCTCTTCCTCCGTTATTGGCGGCAATTCTGTCTCATTCTCCTTCCTTCTCATCTTCATCAACGGTAAGTATACTCAGACTGTTCTCTAGTAATGAAATTTTGCCGTAAGTTTAACTATTAGAGAAGCAACAGAGTTTGAAAATAATTGTATATTTTATGGTTATTAAAATTTTAGAAAGTATGGAAGTTAAGAGAGGTGAACTGTATTCATCACTTTGTCTTTTTGTTTTTCTTATTCTTATTCTTTTTGTGCATATGACAGATGGAAGTTCAAGTTCAAAGGGAATCGTCTTCACAGAAGAGTCTTGCATTTATGGAGCTTGCAATGGAACAGGTAATCCATGGACCTTCTATCAATATAAGATTAAATTAGGCAAAATAGTGAAGGCTTTCTTATGGCATTATGTTCTATCTCCATTTAGTTTTTACTTTCGGTACATTAAATGTTCCCAGCTGTTTTCTGTAGATGCTTACAAGAATTGAAAGAGCATCTTTCATTCTTATCTTATCCATAAGAGAACGTGCAAGTTGCAAACTGTATTTCTAATTGCAGTTAATAGAGGTTCATTTTATATGTGAATTGGTAATAAAATATTTGTTCACGAGTTGAGATGTTATGTGAATTTGTTTCGTGTTCTTGTATCGGGTTGAGCTGCAAGGAGTGGGTGGAGGGGCACACGCACGCATAACTTTGTTACATTTTGATTCTCAAATTCTAATTTCTGTAATTTATTAATTCATTTGAAAATTTCATAAGGTCTTTTTGAGGAGTATTTGGATTTGATTATTGTGGTCCCTACTAGCAAATGCTACTGACTTTGCAATTAACACCTGTAGTCTGTGGCCACTGGCCAGTGGTTGCTACTGAGATGAAAATAGCTGACACAGTAGTTGGAAGTGCTACTGAGTTAGAAATTACCAAATGTCAACAGTTTCCATCTGTGACTTTTAGCAAATCATTGGTATTTGGGTATCGAATCAATTGTGGTGCCCAGGGCATTGGCACTTACCAATTGCCACAAGAAATAAAAGAAAATAATTTTTCAATAAAAATTGGTGGTTGACTTTTGGGAGGCAAACATTCTTGTAGTTTCCCTAACATTTTTTAAGGTCAACCTACGTTAGGAGATTTGATGCTGAAATATGTATATGCTACTTAATAACGTGTATTTATTTTGCCATGCAGATAGTTTGATGACCAGTTTCTAAAAGCTTTCAATAATCTTACAATTGTTAATGCCTTAAAGCATAAGTAGAGATAACATCAATACCTCTTACCTGAATGTAACGGTAGCTTTTTTGAGCAAATGTAGAGTGAATGGTTAAAAGATAGCCTCTTTGTTTGAGTTTCATACTCTAGTCATCTTATTTAATGGATCAGGAAACTGAAACAGTAAATCCATATCTAGGTGTCTTTCAAAAGACAAAGTGTCTGCTAACTAATATTTCTGAACTCGACAGGGGAAAATATTTTTCCTCTGCATTAGATGGGCTCTAACGTTCTGTAGTTGCCATATGGCTTTTCTCCTTCAGACATGTCGAGGTTGTTTCTGCTTAAAATGAATTAAATGTTTGCTGGTTCTGTCAACACATTTCAATTTCAATTTTGTGTCGGCTTTTTGACTTGTGACTCTTTGGTATATTATTTGTTGGTCATATGACAGGCAAAACATGCCTTGGATTGTCTTGAAGTGCCAGTGGGGTAAGCTCTTCGTCTCTTTGAAGTGCCAGTGGTGGTTAAGCTCTTCCAAAGATTATGGTCACTTTATATATATATATACTATACATATTATATTATTAGTTTATTATTTTTTTTTTTTTTTTTTTTCTGGAGAGGGGGGAGAAAGAGGAGAGGAAAGGATACAGGTGTTTGAGGTTTTAATTTTTGACAGAACTGTATTTTATTTTACCAATTCTTGGCAATTTGCACTACCTGAATTTTTGATTATCAACATCATTTTTTCTGAAGTTATATTTAGACACAGAAACAGGGATTGATCTTTGCATCCAGTTATACATAGAAATTTAACGCTAATTTCTGCTTGGGAAGCAGATTAGAATATGTACGAACAACGACTGAACTAGGCCTTTAATCTCCTAAAACTAGCATAGAAGCAATTGAAATGTACTTTTAAGAAAATTCGAAATGTTGTTTGCATTCTTGTGGCTTTATATTTCATTATTCACATTAATGGACTTAAAAATTAATTCTGTGCTTCCTAGGACAACCAAAACTGTCTAGCGAGTCGATGTAGAAGGATTGCGAAAACTTTTGAAACCTAAGTACAAACTTTGATTATAATGATTGAGCATGTATTATTTTTCCATTGGTAGACAGGTTTCAAAATGATTAGTGAAGGGAGAATCAGTGAAATCAAAGGACGGCTGGTAGAGAGGTTGATATAAAATGGGTGCACCTAAAATGGGGGGGAAATTTTCCTTTTTTTTTTCTCCAAGAAAAAAAATTGATTTTCAATTTGAGCGTAATTCTGGGAATAGGTATTGTTTAAGAATATAAGGATATTAGACAGAGTTTGATGTTCCATTCATGATTTGTGATGGATGTTCCATTCATGATTTGTGATGACAAGGAAATAAAGTTGTAAGGTTGTCAAAAAGAAGTTAGAAGAGTAAATAAAAGAAGATAGAATAATAAATCAAGTTTTTTAGCAAGTAAGAACATGAAGAGATTTGAAATTTAAAGAAGCCTGATGGAAGAGATGTGAATGCTAGGTTAATTATGAAAAGAACTCAAATATGTCAAGGCAGTTAGGGAATCAAAGACAGGATAAGGATAGGCTTCAGTTAATTGGGAGTAACCTGACTCTTCAGTTTTTCTGCTGGCTTATGGTTGGTTAAGTGCTTGTATTTTTTCGTATTTTCAGAAGGTCTTATTTGAGTTCAAAGCGAGGAGCCATGAATTGCTGTTAGTTTTATCCTTTACTGAAGGTTGTGGGGAAATCAGTATAGAATACTCACCTCAGGGTGAGCTTACTACTTAGATGCTTTTAGTAGTTATCTGCTCCGCACTTGGCTTGTGGCGTTTATCGTGGGCACAATAACTGGTACATTGGATGGGGATCCTTCCTAGTCCTCTTGTACTAGGGGAAGTGACCTCTCAATGCTCTAATGAAATGGGAGGAAAATAAATGGTAATACAATTTCCATTTTTGCAGAGACCACTCCATATTTTCAGTTAAATATATCATTTCAGCAATTTAGGGTATAATTGACATATGCCTTGCCTGGAGAAACCTAGTCCTTGTCATAGTTCATACAGAAGTAACTATATGTATGATTAATAGGGAAAAAACATTTGATTTAATTGAAATAACTTAATTTCATTAGTCAAATTTTCAATTATATTAGGATAATGCTCAACCCACCTGTTGCTAAAACTCTGTTTGCTTAGTTTGAGTTATGTTCTTTAAAATGTTGGTTTCTTGCTATCAAAAAATTCGTTGCTAATTTTTATGTGCTCACATGAGGGTGAGCAGTGAGCCAGGAGTGACTGAGGAATTTAATTGAGACCCTGCTTCATGAGGGTGAGCAGTGAGCCAGGAGTGACTGAGGAATTTAATTGAGACCCTGCTTATTCTGCCTCAGTTGAACCCTGGGCAACTCTAAACAAGACCTGCTGGTGTTTTGTTGGCTGGTTTTTGGCTTTACTTGCTAAGGATTTATAACCTAATTTGGTGAATTACCCCTGCATTAGAATCAGGATTGACATTCTTTAACGAGATGATGTCCATCAATGTTGATGTGCAGTTCAGATGTCGAAAATGAACTAAATTTGCATATACATATATTGTCATATGTCCTTAAACATATTGCAATTATTAATCAACATAGCTGTGCTCCCTAGAAATTTAGGCTTCTTCAGTTAACCTAATCAATTTTTGCAGATTACACTTTTCCTTCCAGAAAAGAGATTGATTCTTTTACTTAAAATCTGCATTATTATTTAGTCAGATCCTTCATCACTAAAACTATTTTTTCATTGACCAGTTGTGTGATTGTTGAAGGTGGCATAGTCATTGGATCTGGAAGAAATCGAACAACAGAGACAAGAAATGTAAGTTAATCAATGCATCAAATATTTTCACCTTTGTTTACTCTTCTAACCTGCTTTTATGATATTCTATGGTAAGTTTAATCATATCGAGGTCCCTCTAATTTATTTTAGTTTTTGCATGTGAGTTGCTTTTCAGAAATCATCTAATATATAATGAGCTAGCAGTACCTCGTAGGGCTAGCAGATACCTCGTAGCTTATAATAGCATAACTCTGGGATGTCTGATAACTAATCTTTAATAGCTAATTGGATGTCTATAACTAATCTCACCTTTGTTCAAGTGCAACACAACTATGCCATGTTAGTTTTGTGCAAGTGAATTGTTTTTCAGAAACCATCTACTACATAATGAGCTACCACCTTGTTATTTAATAGCTACTTGGATGTTTGTAACTAGTCTCACCTTTATTCACCGCTGCTCAACTTTGCTGATCCTTGAATTGCAATATAATTTAAAATTTGTATCAAACAATAACAAGGTAGAAATCAGAAGAGCATTCGGATAGATACTCTAAAGCTTTTGCAATTTAGGTTCTACTTTAATTTCTTGTTGTAGGCCACAAGACATGCAGAGATGGAAGCAATAGATGTTCTTCTTGAGCAGTGGCAAAAAAGTGGACTTTCAACTTCAGAAGTTGCTGAAAAATTTTCAAAATGTACTCTTTATGTTACATGTGAACCATGTATAATGTGTGCTGCAGCTTTGTCTATCCTTGGTATCCTCCCGTTTTCAAATAACACTTTTCTAATTCTTTTAAATCTATCAGAGCTTTATTTATTAATCTAATTGATAATTTTTGACTTCAGTTGTTCACTTGCTTAGGTATAAAGGAAGTGTATTATGGATGTGCAAATGATAAATTTGGAGGCTGTGGATCAATATTGTCACTGCATTCTGGCAACTATCAGCCACTTAATAGGTTCATTTCTATTTTTCGTTTGGGTTAATTATTTTCATGATGTTGTCAATTTTTTTTCTTTTAATGTCTTAACGTTATTATTATTATTATTATTATTATAGGTTCATTTATTTCTATTTTTCGTTTGGGTTAATTATTTTCATGATGTTGTCAATTTTTTTTCTTTTAATGTCTTAACGTTATTATTATTATTATTATTATTATTATTATTATTATTTATCAATTAAGTGTTTGGACATACAATCTTTTTTCAATTAAATGCATTTGTCCGGAATCTTTTGTCAAAAAAATTAAAATGGATGATTAAATTACATTTGGACATCCATTCTCTTTCTCTCTCTTACTCTTTTTCTTTTCCTATTCCACTTTATATTGTTGTTTGTCTCTTTTTTTCTTAAAAAAAAATAATAAATAAAGTTTCACTCTTTAACTTTTTCCATCTTCTACGATAATATCATATGCATTTAGCAGTAAATTGATATGTTGTTTATTTTATCTTCAACTACTGTTATTATACAAATTTTATCCAGAGTTTCATCATAAGCCATGGCAATATATAAATCACTTCCTTGGTTTCAAATTGTTATGAAACAAGTAACATAACGTAGTAGTTGTATAAAACTTGATTGTCCAGTTCCTGATGCAGGGATCCTCACTTTAATTGGTGGATATTTAATTATAATTGTGTCTTCCATTTATGTGCATTGTGCAATTTAGGGCATGTTTAACATATTCTATATGTTTGATAGTGAGGAAGCTGCTCAATGGAAGGGTTTCAAATGTACTGGAGGAGTAATGGCATCTGAGGCAGTTTCGCTTTTACGATGTTTCTATGAACAAGGGAACCCTAATGGTAAGTGAGTTCAATAGTCAAGTTCTGTTTGAAAACATCCTAGGATGTGCTAACTCCCATTTTTAGAAGCAAATCAAAGAACAGAGTAATATATATATATATATATATATATATAGAAACCAGAGAGTCAACACTTACTATATATTATATATATATATATATATATATTGGAATAGAGGGAAGAGAGTATTCTGTTGAGTTAGATTTCGGAAATGGTTCTTAGGCATGCTGTTGGATGGTAAAATTTAATAAAAGGTAGCAAGTAAAAAACTGAAAAAAGGCAATGCTTCTTGTGAGCTCGTTCCAAAAAGTACTTGCTGGATATCTGGAGAAATGGCTATTATTTCCAGATATATCTTAAAAATGATGGATTTTATTTTTCATATAAAAGATGCTGAAGTGTTTCTGTTTCCATGACCATAACTCATGCAAACATGCTCAGAAAGATTGTTAGAGACTAGCATGATTCTCCAATTGCAACTTTTGTTTTCTTGTGAAGAATCATAACATGAAAGCCGTAAAGACAAAATTCAACAACTTGGCTAAATAATTGGTTCCCACTTCCTTATTAAGGTATGACCCTTGTATTTGAATGTGTATTTGGACCTCTAATATTTTAGTAGTGAGGGGGAAAATAATGGTTAACTAATTACCTCAATGTGGGCAATTAAAATTGATGAAGCCGAAGTTGTATTTATATTTTTGGGCTTCCTAGCTTAAACTCAGACCAGAAAGGGTGAGTAACCTTTCTTCATATTTTTTGGATTCAGAACTGATATTTATTGTTTCATATACCAGTTTTGTTTGGTGGATTTTTAGTATACAATGGTTGCTTATAATGATCTACTTTATGAGCAAATGCTTTATACTGCAAATCCATCAACATAAGCTAGTATGTGAAAACAGTATATATTAGAGTTCGGAAAGGTCAAATCTGTTTGGTGATTCCGTCAAACAAGTTGCGTCAAAGCAAGTTGCGAAAACTTTGATAGGTTCCTACATCTGAACTGAATTCTTTCTGTTGATGGTGAATCGGGAAAGTGGAAGAAAGGTCTGTTTTGCCATTTGTGTTCCAAGTTAAAGCTCCAACCCATAATACGAATGCAACTTTGGCTTAAATCAATTTTAGCTTCCAATAATACGAATGCAACTTGGCCTTAAATCAATTTTAGCTTATCCACGTCAACCTGTCCCAACATTAAAGGACATCATCTAGACATCCATCAAGAAAAGATAAGTTTACAGATATCATACATAACATTGACAAAATAGACATAAAAAGATTCCAACTGGCATTTACATTGGGAAAAACTAACACCAACAGTGGAAACAAACTTATTTTATAGCAAAACCCAAATATTAAAGGCTGTGAAGAATAAACCAAGTTAGAGAACTGTTCCTAATAAAAACTAATGAGTCTTGGGAGCGCAGAAAGGACGAATACAAAATGTTCTTATATTATGATATATCTGTTAGTGCGTTGGATTAGTTTTAGAATTCTGCTATGCAGTGGTGGATGTCATTCCGTGTTTGTGCATGTAAATGACATGAATAAACCTAAGGCTGTTATAATTTCTTTTGATGGTTTCTTCAATTTTGGTCCTTTGCTTTAGAGTTGACTCTAGACTAATGTATCGTTGCTTGCCTTTCCAGCTCCGAAGTCTCACAGGCCAGTAACTTTCCAGGTAACACATCACTAAAATATCTTGAAACTATCAGAGTACCTTTCGCTTCCTGTTCTCATGATTTAAGACTTGGACTTTCAAACAGTACTTGCTATATGTGATACATACACAAAGGTATGTATAAGTTTAGAAATATTTGTTGAAAATGTTCTATTTTCAATTTACGTGTCGCTTCTGGAAGTGTAGACTTTAACTTTTTGTTCTTATATAAAGTGAAGAACTCACGATGACTGAAGCTGTTTTGGAAAAAACCTTCATTGAACGAATTTGTGAATGAAATACGGAACATCTAACTTGTCTACCCAAGATTGAGGCCCTTGATAGAAAAATTTAGGTCTTTGTGGCTTATTGTCTCTTCAGGAACTCGCATTTTCTTTTTCCATTTGCTAAAATGCGTCATATTGTGCTTGGAAAGGTGAAGTGAGGGTAATTCAAATGAAGGATTAGAGAACATAGCTTCCAAATTTTGAGACTTCTTTCCTTACTCTTGGGATATAGATAGATGTCAAATGCATTGTTAGGACATCTGCGGAGGGCTGCACATGAGTTGGGTTAGTTGATTTAATTTACTTAATTTGTAAGTAGGGATGATCAAATGATCCGATTCATTGGATATCCGGTCCGATTCGATCTGAATGAAACAGATAAAATCCGATCCATTTAGTGGTGGATCAAATATGGATTTAAAAAAAAGAACCCAACGCGAATATGAGTCGGATATAGATATGGAATAATCCGATCTTAATCTAATCCGTGAAAGGTAACTTGGCTTTTTTGTTATATTTCTAAACTTGTTGATTGTAATTCTAGATGTGTCGTTGCCTTTATTTTTCTATTCCTTCTTTCTTTTTCATTTATATTCTAAATCATTATCTTCAACTTTTTTACCTTTTTTGTATTTTTTTTTTTTAATCTCTACCTCAAATTAAAGAATATGAATTTAAACATTACAACCATTAGTCTGAGTTTTTTTGAACTTAACAATTATTAAAGTCTCTACTAGTTGTCATAGCATATAATATTTCCAATTATTGTTAGGAATTTTTGTGTTTTCAAACATAAAACATAATATGCATTTTTATTAAATTATTGTTCTATTTGGTTTTCTTTTAAACAGAATAAAAAATGGATAATATTCGATTCGACCGGATCCAAATTCGAGTGGAACAGATATAAATATGGATATATGAAAATCTTTACGGATTGAATATGAATTTTGTATAATCTGATCTAAATTTAATCCCTATTGATAAGTGCAAGTCAATAAATGGTAAAGTCTTGATGGTAAACCACTTATGAGTTGTGGTCTTGGTAATAGGATCCGGATATCAGTGATTTACACACAAAAAAAGTCTTAATGGTAAACCAAACAAGCCATAATTGTAGACCAATAAAAAGAAGAAATTACTTGAATGGTAAATTTAATAGCAAATTCACGACAAAAGTCTCTTTGCTTATAAAATTTGCATGACAAAATAATTAGCCAATATCGATTGAGCCAGCCAACCTTGAAACTTGTTTGATGCCTATTTTAATTTCCAACAAATCACTTTTAGGATTGGCTACAATGTAGTCAAACCAACCAAATCGATTCAACCTATCGATTTATTCAATTTTATTTTTTAAATTATTAATTTGATTTATGTAGAAAAAACAAAAAAGAAAATTGTTTGGTTTAATTCTTAAAAATCTTAAGAGTCAAAGAAATTGAAAAAATTGAACTGAATCGAATCAAATCAATTTAAATGAATTTGATTTCTTTTGAAAGTTTTCCAGTCATTCTATTTAATCAACTGAATTCCTATCCCTAACCACTTGTGTATATATTGCATTATATTGTAGCCAATTGTAAGTCTCGGAAATTGCCAAGTATGAGGAGAACAATAATTATTTAGCACGGTTGTAAGAAGATAAAGTGTAATGACAACAATTATTTAGCACGGTTGTAAGAAGATAAGTTGTTTTATATTTTTAGATTATGACAATATCTATTAGTTATATCCCATCAAGATAATGCATTAAATTAAATTAAAATTTAATTAAAATACAAGTAATTCAAGCCATACAATAAAAAATACTTAATTTATTATTTTAATGATTACCTTGGTGCATGGGGTAGTCTTATATATTAAGAGTTAGGTTGCACAGACTCAGCGAGATACGGAACGTACGAGAGATATAATAATAAATAAACAATCATTTATAATAAATAAAAAATAAAAAATACTTAATGTTTTATTTTAATATAATTAGTTTAATATAAAATAAATACAATCATATATAAATAAAAAATAAAATAATACAATATATAATATAATAATTAATAATAATAATAATACAACAATAAACCCAAATTATAATAAAATAAAAAATATTTAATTTCTGGTATTATATTGACGATATCTTGATTATGGGCAGTCTATCTTATACACCAGAAGGGTTCATCTGCACAAAACGCATGAGACACAAGATAACGGAAACGCGGTAGCCGACGGTTTATTATGGATATGACAAATAAATTAAGAACGATCATTTATGAAATAAATAATTAACATTCTAAAATAAAAAAAATACTTAATTCTTATTCATATAATTAAGTTAAATTCTTCAAAATATACTATTACTATTGAAAAAAATCTATATCAATCTACATAATATATTAAAAGCAGGCCGTAGTTTATTTATATGGAAGCCAGAGCGTTAGTAGCAACAGTTCTCTAGGCCATCTCTCTATATTATTATATATGAATGTATCTGATCTATTAGTATATCTATCACAACTTAGCACAATATATGATATTTGTCCATAATCCTCATAATCTCTTTTCCTTCTCCTCCACCCCCCCTCTACACTCCTCCTAAATCTTAGTTCTACAATAATATAATCAAAAAAGTATATCTAATCTTAATAAAAAAATTATTCTTTTATAAAACAATTAATAAGTAATCCACATGTTAAAAAAGAGTGTTGAATAAACAATGACATACTATTAAATAAACAGTATATAAGTAATTTTAAAAAAAAAAAAAAAAACAAATATACATTGGAACGTATAGGCATACGATACTTTTTAAAAAAGTAAGTCATCCACACGCTTTGTAACAACAGTACACTAAATAAAGTAATATATTAATATTTCAAATAAAAAACAACAAAATAAATAAACAACAATTTATAATAAATTATAAACATAAAATAAAAAAGACTTAATTTCTTATTTCAATGCCACAAAAAATATTTTAAAACACTTCATTTGATTGGTATTAAATAAAAAAAATCTTGGTTGATTAATTTGGTATACAGAATAGTCTCATATACTAGGATCTGAGTTGCACGGAAACGGGATACAAGATACGAGACGAACGTAATACAATAATTTTTAAAAAAGGTAGGATATTCACTCGCTTAAAACGTACTACACTAAATAAGTAATACATTAATATTTCAAATAAATAAACAATCATTTATAATAAACATAAAATAAAAAAACACTAAATTTCTTATTTCAATAATAAACATAAAATAAAAAAACACTAAATTTCTTATTTCAATAACACAAAAGCAAATAAAAAAAAACCACTTTATTTTTATTGGTAATAAAAAAAGTCTTAGTTGATCGGCTTGGTGTATAGTAATCTCATATATCATGAGTTATGTTGCACAAACACATAACACGAGATACAAGAACGTACAAGATGCAAGAACGTACGAGATACGATAATTTTTTAAAAATGTAAGACATTTACACGCTTAGGACACAGTACACTAAATGAGTAATATATTAATATTTCAAATAAATAAACAATCATTTATAATAAATTATGAACACAAAATAAAAAAATTTAATTTCTTAATGACAGAAAAACAAATTAAAAAAACACTTCATTTTTTTTTTTGGCAATTAAAAAATCTTAGTTGATTAGCTTGGTGTATAGAGCAGTCTCATATACCAGGAACTATGTTTAATAGAAATGAGATACGATAATTTTTTAAAAAGATAACACATCCACACGCTTAGGACATTAATACACTAAATAAATAATACATATTTCAAATAAATAAATAATCATTTATAATAAATCATAAAAATAAAATAAAAAATACTTAATTTCTTATTTCAATGATACAAAAGTAAATTAAAAAAATATTTCAATGATACAAAAGTAAATTAAAAAAAACACTTCATTTTTATTGGTAATAAAAAAAAACCTTAGTCGATTAGTTTAGTGTAAGGAGTAGTCTCATATACCAGAAGCTAGGTTTCACGGACATGGGACACGAGATACGAAAACGTATGGATATGAAAATTTTTAAAAAGTAGGATATCCATATACGTAGGACACATTACACTAACTAAATAATACATTAATATTTCAAATAATAAATCATATCCATAAGCATAAAATAATCATTTATAATAAATCATAAGCATAAAATAAAAGAATACTTAAATTCTTATTTTCAATATAATTAGTTAAATTTTCAAAATTATTATCACTATTGAAAAATATATTAATAGCGTGTATACATTTTTATACAGGTCATATCATTCATAACTTTTGCTATTACATACCTTATAAAAAGTTTCGCATGATACTTAAGAAGATATATCTTACCATTGCAATTTTCAGCATATCTCAATAAGATACAGTTTATTATTTTATTATATAATTTTACTATTTTTCAATGATGTTATAAAATACTATTTCATCTTTTAATTATTTCATCTTTTAATATTACCCTGTGTATTGTGTGGATTATAAGGGAAAAAAACAATTATATTTTCAGATAATATCATATAGAAAAAAAAACTAAAGTAATATTAATAAGCAAAAATTATTTTTTTTTTTTAGAAATAAGAAAGGACTATAAAGGAAAAAATTCCGATAATTTTGTCTTCAAATTAGAAGGAAAATAAAAAACTATAAAAATAAATTTGTAGAGAAAAATTAAATTTATTTTTCTTTTATATTTTCTTTTATATCCAAAAAAGATAAGTAACAAAAGTTTTCTCAAAAAAAATTGTCCCTTCTTATTTTTTCTGATTATTCATTAATAAAAAAAAGATACAAAAATAAATTGAAAAAACACTTCATTGTCCAATAGAGGCACGTACACGATTCGACAATTTTTTAAAAAGTAGATAATCCACACACTTATGACACACTACACTAAATAAGTATAATACATTGATATTTCAAATAAATAAACAATCATTTATAATAAATTATAATCATAAAATAAAAACATAAAATAAAAATTACTTAATTTCTTATTTCAATATAATTAGTAAATCCTCAAAAATTATTTGATCACTATTGAAAAATTACATAATAGTATGTGTGAAATTTTTTTGATGGCATGTCATACTAGGAGTGTCCATAAACGGTCACGACATGCGAACACCAAATTCGCCTAAACACGTTGAAATAAATGGAGTTTAGAGTGAGTTAAACGAGTTCATGTCAATAAACGAGTTATCCATTCTATATAACGATGAATATAAACTACGTCGTACTCCAAAAATTTAGGCGGAGTTAAATCTGTTTTGATTTTTAAGAATAAAAAGATAATTTATAGTGTTAGATATAAATATTCCAAACTAAAAGTTATTTAAATTTTTATTATTTTATTAACTTTTATTTTTTAATTATGAATCTTAAAGAATTTATGACGATTACTTCGTTGAAAAAATTTATCTAAATTTATTTTTTTAAATTGATTAGAGTTAATAGATTTAAAAGTTAAAAATACTAGAGTTAAATAGATTAAAAGTTAAAAATACTATAACTAGGTTAAGTGGGTCGTGTATAGATCAAATATCCACTTAACCTATTTATGATATTAAACGGGTTACACGAGTTATATGGGTCAACACGACCCACTAACCTATTTATGATATTAAGCGGGTTAAACGTGTCGTGTTCGTGTCAATCGTCTAATTTTCGTGTTATATTTGTGTAATTTTTGTCTAATTTTTTAAATCAATTAATTATTTACCGATTGTATAAAAAATTTTATATAAAAATAAATATTTTTCTAAAAGTTAATATGCTATTATTTTGTATAAACATAATTTATAAATACACATAAGGAATTTAGTCTAATCACGTCTTTTATAAAATATAGGTAATTGGAAGGTTTGGACTCTTGAATTTAAATATTGCAAATTCAATAAATATTATTTTTAGAGAAAATTATTTCCCCCACAGTATTAAAATTTTGAGAAGATTGTAATATTCTTCCAGCTGTCTATTGCTGTGGCAAATATCTTTTCCAATAATTTGTTTGTGATAAGATAGTCAGAGTATTTATGCTTAGGAAGCTTGCAAGGCGGCTATTTCTTCCAATTAGGAAAGTTTGGTTTCTTTTATTTCTTCCTAACTTTGTCCTAAACAACAATATTATAATAAACCTACTTTGTCCTATATTGCAATATTATAATAAACCTAATCACGTCTCGGATTTGAAAATGGAATAGATTAAAATCTATGTTCAAACTTTAAATATATTTATTAAATAATTAAATAAAATTTTGGTACTCATTCAAAAAAAAAAAAAAAAAAAAAAAAAAAAGAAAAAAAAAAAAAGGGTTGGTACTTAAGTCTTAACATTAATAATATGAAGTATCGGATTAGACTACATAGAAGATGTTTTATTTACTATACAATTACTCTTAGATAGTTTCATGGTGATTCCTTGGAGGTAATGGGTGGGTACCCACCTTTAGAAAGTGTACCCCGATCGCTTAGATAGTTTCATGTGATCTTGGATGGTAATGGGTTGGGTACCCACTTAAAATGTACCGATCGAATTCGAATTCGATTATAGATTAGGTATTTGAATCCGTCCTAAATTCATTTAAAATTTTAGTTTTAATATCTGAATCTGTCCCAAACCTAATTATAATTATCCGTTTAAATACCCAAATCCGTTTAAATACCCGTTTAGCATTAAAAATATATATATTTTTCATTTTTCAAAAATAAAAAGTAAGTGAAAATTATAAATTTATTATTTTGGCTATAAATAATATAATATAAATGTTAAATATAATTATAGCATTAAATATAATAAAAAAGGAGTATATATATACTTTTTCTTCTAAAAAAATAATTACTTTAAATATTTATTAAACGGATAGTGGATACCCAAATCCTTAAACTGGAATTTCACTCGAACCGGATGCTGTTGGTAAAAATACTGTATAAATTCATTCCAAACCGTCCTAAACCTATTTATTCACTACTTGAATCCGTTAAAATCGGATCGTATCGGACCGAGTTCCTATGCGGTCGGATAAAATTGCCATCCCTATATGTGATTGATCCTTTTGTTTTGTTTTGATCTTTAAACTTAGTCATTTTTGTACATTTTACTAAAATCTACATAATTCAGCCATTTAATAGAGTCAATAGCTAATGATTGTCGGTAAAAGCTGATGAATAATGAATGTTTTGGTAAAAATATAAATAAAGTGGTCGAAGTTCTTGCCCTTTGTGCAGCTCTTCATTGGGTTGAGCAAAGTGTTTCAGGAGCTGGTTGCATCTATACCGATCCCCAGCTACTTGTTTATGCCCTTAATTCCACTGTTTGTGATTTATCTTCTTTCGGATTGATTGTCGATGATTGTGCAATATAATTGTGCTATAGACATTTCCATTAAATGGACAGAGGGACAAACCAATATAATTGTGCAATTTAAATGAAATTCCTCATTTGCAAAAAAAAAAAAAAAATCATTTGCCAAAAGAAAAAAAAAAAAAAAAATTATAATAATAATAATTAGTTATTTTTATTAATACATAAAATGACCAAATAAAAGTAAATTTAAATTTACATAAAATATGAAATGGTTGCATGAACAAATTTACTATCAAGCGTTGCACTGATTGTTTATAAATTTATAATTTATAAATTTAGTACGTGTTGAAATATTTATTGAAGAAGGAGATTTAAATATATGGGAATATGTCCAAATCGTTTACAAATGTTTATTACTATCTCTATTTCATAATACTTATTACATTTAGAATTTTATGTTCCTAAATAAAATTATTAAATTTGTCTAAGTTACAATAAATTATTGAATAAATGAACTATATTACTCTTAATTTATTACTAATTTTCTAAGAAAATCATTAAATTATTACTAATTTTCTAAGAAAATCATTAAATTAAAATAATAATTATTTGTCATATACAAAAGATAAATATAGAAAAAAATATTTATTATTCCTTAAAACTACAAATGTAATAAGTATTTTAGAACAAATTATTTTCTTAAATGTAACAAGTATAATCGAAGGTTGATAATATGTTTTAATTTTATTAGTTGACTTAACTGTCAATAAGATTTGGATGTAAACGATGTCTTTTATGATTCGGAAAAATTAAAAATTTATATACTTAATAAATTTAATAATAAGAAAAATCAAACTATTATTACAAGAACAAAAAGAAAAAAACAAAAAGAAAAAAGCTGTTTATATATCCAACTAAAAAATGTGTGGGTTCACGATCTCATTCTTTCCTTGTAAAAGAAAGAAAATCCCTTAGGAAGAAGAAAATAAGAAGAAAGATAAAAATGAAGTCCAAAACCTGCAATAATAATATTATGTTTACATTATTATTAGCAATAACATGGAGCTCGTTTATGGAATTCAAATTCGTAGTTTCAGACTCAGGAATTAAACTTCTAAACAAAGGTTGCAGCAATTACAACGTCTCCAGCTTATCGAAGTTCAATTCCAATCTCAACGACACCTTCAGGAGTCTTAGGACGCAGCTCAACGCTGGAAACCATTTCGCCATCGCGAAGCAACTTGAAGGTGCCGATGGAGTGTTTGCAATGGTGCAGTGTAGAGATTACATGTCCACCGCCGAATGTATTGCTTGTTTCCGTGCTGCTTCTATCGAAGTTCGCAGCTGTTCCCCCGGTAATGGCGGCCGTGTTGTCTACGATGGCTGCTTTGGCTGCTTTCTCAGGTACTTTTTTTTTTTTTTCAATATTTAACATCTTTTTTTTATGATAAGTATATGTAGAATTTGGTTCTATGTAGAAGTTTGGCTTGTAAATGTAGAATTTGGTTCTATGTAGAAGTTTGGCTTGTAACTTCATAATCTTTAAAATGAACTCAACACACAAATGATCCAAACAAAATTAACTTTTAATACTCCCTTCCTCCACTTTTATCTGTATTTAGGGTTTTTATGATAAGATCAGTTAAAAAAAAAAAAATATTGTAGGAAATAGTATTGTGTTTGGTAGGTAAGGGTAAAATTGAAAAAAAAAATAAAAATTAATGCTCATTATCTGACAAATAATTTTGGATTAAACAATATAAACACGACAGATAAAAATAAGTATAAATTTTATACTTAAGCCTAATTAATGCTTGTGTTCCATAATTTTGTTCAGTCAATCAACCAACATGATTGAACATAAACTAATAAAATTCTCAAATTGTTCTTGAGTTGCTGTAAATTGTTTTATATCCCTAACTTCACAACATGACTATATATATTAAGATTTATTACTCAAAATATGGGTGTTTTTACATATATAGCATCGTATTTAAATTCTCACAATTATTTCTAAATATTTTCATCTTTATCATAATTAAGTTAATAATACGAATTTATTTTCTTTAAGATATTTTTTTTAAGTATTGAAGAAAGGAGATTTTAATATGTGGGAAATCATTTACAAATGTTTATTACTATCTCTATTCCATAATACTTGTCACGTTGAAAATTCACGTCCCTCAATAAAATTATTAAATTTGTCTAAGTTACAATAAATTATTGAATAAATTAACTATATTACTCTTAATTTAATACTAATTTTTTAAGAAAATCATTGAATTGAAGTAATAATTATTGGTCATATACGAAGGGTAAATATGAAAAATAATATTTATTATTCCTTAAAACTACAAATGTGACAAATATTTTTGAACAAAATTATTTTCTTAAATGTGATAAATATTATCGAATGTTGATAGTATGTTTTAATTTCATTAGTTGACTTAACTGTCAATAAGATTTGCTCTCTAAATACATTGGATATAAATGATGTTTTTTATTAATCGAAAAATTAAAAATTTATATACTTAATAAATTTAATAACGAGAATATAAATTTAAAAGAATAAAATAATAATAATAGGTGATGATTTTAATATTAATATTAATATAGGTGATGAAGTTTTTAATATTATGAATTAATAGTTATATAATACATATAGCTACTATATATATAGGTAGATATATTTTTGTTTTTTCTTTTTTTGAAAACAAATAATAACAAATCATTGATTTGGTGTAAAGAACATCCGCTCAATGTTAGTGGCACAGGAACAAGATACGTTTTTATTGGAATCCAACTTAATAAGGTTTGCCGGAGATGTCACGTTGTAGGAACAATTCTGACCACTGACGCAGCAGTCGAGTCAACACTGCCGGTTATGTCCCCTTCTAAAACTAAGTTGTAGTTATTGAAATATGGGGTCAAGGAGGGTCACTGGAATGGTTGCATTGATTAGGGACGGGAAATGGGCGTTTTAGGGTAGCCATTCTCTGCTCCGTCTGTTAACGAGTTTGAAATAGATATAAATAATGAAATTATTATTTACAATAGATACGGATAAGATATAGATATTAAACTTAAATATCCGCTATTTATTATCTGTTATAATAAATAGTTATGGCCATAAATATCTGTAAGTTTCTTAACGATTTATTAGTAAAATATACCTTTTAAAAAAGTTTGGATTTTGATAGTTTAAAATTTGCCAATATTTTATCCATTTAAAGGATAATTTAAATAAATTTGAGACAAATATAAATAATAAAATTTAAATAATTTGAATATAGATACTTAAATAGATATTTAAATATATTTAGTACAGGAAATAAAATTTTAAAGTTATACTGAGTTACTGTACGCTTCAAATCTTGGTACGTGTCAACGTGGAAACAAAAATTCTCAATACTCTGCATTATTGGTCAAGTAATAGAAGAGCAGCCTCAAAAAAAAAAAAAAAAAAAAAAAAAAAAAAAAAAAAAAAAAAAAAAAAAAAATACATACAACTACTGACTGCAATTATGGTCAAGTAAAGGAAAGACGCAGCCGCTCGAAAAAAAAAACAAAAAAAGGAAAGAAAAAAAAGCAAAAAAAAAAAAAAAAAAAACAGAAAAAAAAAAAAAAAAAAAAAAAAAAAAAAAAAAAAAAAAAAAAAAAAAAAACTGGTGTGTAGCAGCCAATTAAATCACACAACTGCAAACACAAAATTATTATGATTGAGACAAATAGCATTATTGGTTTTTTTAAGAGCTGGACCGATTCAAATACTATGCTAAAATATTAATTAATTGAACACTAACAACGACTTCAAATAGACTTCTTAACTACCAGAGTTCAATTTGCAATTGAATTAATGAGGATCTGATTTGACTAGTAAGCAACTGGAGGATTTTTTTTTTCTTTTCTTTTCTCTTCTTTTTTTTTTTTAGAGAGTATCAATAAGGAGATTTTAAAATTCTACAATTATTTTAAAATTCTGATGCATGAAAAGGAAATAATGACTTTAAATGGGACAAATAGATATATTATTCTATAATTAGCATATATCAATCTTAATCTTGTCATTTATTTACTAATTGAGATAAGAAAGATGTGGTCCGTATAGAATATGATGATGGATTACATAAATATGATTATATAACTATCTATACATTAAGCCTATCTCATACAATTATTTAGAGTAAAAAAAAAAGTATAATTGATAATTCACTGGAAATGAGAATAAACTAATAAAAAACTATACCCACTTTTTAATATGGTAACCAATTGTTGATTTGATATATAATAGGGTTTAATATATTATTTCACCCTGAATTTTAGGTTTTGTTGTAATTTCACTCCGATTTGAACTTTATGCCAATTTCACCGTGAAATCCAATTTTTGTTGTAATTTCATTCAAATCTCAGCCTGAACTTTGAATTTTTGTTGCAATAGCACTCTAAATTATTATTAGAACTTAAATTGTAAATAAAAAATAGATTCACTTTTGACCTTGATCTTGGGTTAACTTAATATATTTGTGTGAATGAGAGTTTAGATTAATAGTAAGCACAATCTCTAATATTATTTTTAATATTTTTAAATTTTTTCTTTAATCGATAATTAATAATATTTAAAACTTAATTATTTAATACATGAAATCTTTTTTTTTAAAAAATAGAATATAATTATTATTATGGTTTGATTTTTAATATAAATTTTGAAATAATTATAAACTATTAGAAACTTTAAAAACAAAGCTACTATCAATTTAGTTGACTCATAAACTATTAGAAATTGTAATATTTTTTTTATCAAAGTAGAATATAAGATATAATTATATTCTAATTTTTTTAAAAAAAAGTCGTTCAAGTATCAAATAATTAATTTTTAAATATTACTTACTATCATTTAAAAAATAATTTAAAAATATTAAAAAATAATAATAGAGATTATTCTTACTATTAAACCAAATTTCTTCACTTACACAAATGGTATTAAGTTAACAAATGGTATTAAGTTAACCAACCCCAGAATCAAGAGTGAATCCATTTTTTATTTACAATTTAAGTCATAATTATAATTTAGGGTGCTATTGCAACAAAAGATCAAAATTTAGGTAAAATTGGGATAAATGTTATGTTAGAGTGAAATTGCAACAAAAAGTTAAAGTTCAAGGTGAAATTGACATAAATGTCAAATTAGAGTGAAACTGAAACTTCAGGATGAAATAATATATTAAGCCTATAAGTAGTATACCAAGTGTTGGAAAGTATTTTCCTGTAAACATAACATAAGGTTCTTCATCATTTTAGAAAATTTGCCAAAAGAAAGTCTAATTGCAGCATGACCATTAGATTGACTAGCTCACTCCACTAAGTCATAATAGTTATCCACCACGGCATCTTTCTTTTTGTCCTTATATGTATATATATTTGTGTTATTGGATTACATACATTTGATTTTCGAGAATTTAGGCTCAGTTTTAGATAACATTAAATTTCATTCAACCCCTTCAAAAAAATATTCAATTATTCAAATTTTTAGATATTCAAACTGAATCAATTGAATTAAGTGTTAATCCTTATCTGCTCTAACTTGTTCACCACTCCACTTACAATGCCCTACCTTTTTTATTTACTATTTATTTTATTGTTCAGCCTAAAAAAGGTTGGTACTTGTTAGGTTTGCGTCTATCAAAATGTCTTTTTGGGCGTGCAACGGGTAGTGTGGCTTAACACACCGTGATCCAGTTAGTCTAGTGAGAAAAGACATAAATAGAGAAACAGAAAAAAAAAAAGGGAAAGAAATAGATGAGGAATAGAGAGAATGCAAAACTAGGAGGTTGAAAAAGAAGAGAGAAATGGGGAGAGTTAGAAGAAAGGGAAGAGCATTGTTGTGATTAACTAATATCATTTCTAATAACATTGCTTTCCTTGTTTTAAAAAAATCCCTAGCTGCTCTGGTCTTTGTCTGCCCCAAGGCACAATTTGCTTGATATTCTCAAACTTTCACGATTGCTTTGTGTTGATTTTTAGTATGATGGAGGATGGAATCTCGTCTTTGTCTATTCATGATGAGAAAGATGAAGGTTTTCAGGTTGGAACGGATGTAGTAGAGCAGGAACCAGAGTATGGTTTCTGTTTAGTGGGCGTGTTCCTGATTATGAGCCTTGTTGCGTTTCTAGCAATGCAAAACCTTTTTGCTGATCTCTAGCATCCTTAGGGGGTGTTACCATCATTGATCTAGGTGCAAAGAGGTATCTTTATCATTTTCACAATGAAGTCGATATCAAGTGGGTCATGAATGGCTCTCCTTAGAGCTTTAATAGACACTTATTGATTTGGCATCGCATGCAAGAATGAGAAGATCCAGTGCTCGTCCCGTTGCTTTTTGTTGACTTTTGGG